TATTGTCAAGTGAGGATTTAGTGGAGTGTACAAAGGGTTTTGGGATAGGAAAAAAGTTGCATTGAGGTCAGCCAAGACAATAAAAGAATTATTGCATGAGGAAATTAATATTAAAGATGATATCTAGATAAGTGTGCGCAACCAATTTTTGTATTTATTTATTCACCTTTTGTTCTAATTCTATTTATATAATAATAATTCCATGAAGGCAAAATTGACCAATGAATGTGCAAAAAGACGGTAAAAATTATGATTAAAGTATTATTTTATTTAATATCTATTAATTACCTTGACTTTTTAATTAGAGATGAATCAAGTTGTAAAAAAATCAACGATTAATTTTACATTTTCATTTAATTTATTTTTTTGATATTAATTTATTAACTAATCCATTATTTTATCCTTTATTTAGGAAATAAGAAATAAACGATTTTATTTTGTATTTTAAGTAGAAATCAACCATTTAGTCAATTTTTTGAATTTATTGTTATTATTTAATTTATCAATTTACTATATTCAGCGAAATTTCTATTGTTTAATAAAGATATTAGGTAAGAAATGATAAGCCCGCTTGCTTTTTTATTTATTTAATTTTTCCTTCTATTTTTCCTTTATATATAGGTTTCGTGGCTATAAAGTCCATAGAATAGCACGTAATCTTCAAAATGGTGAATAATTTTTAGTAATTCCTTATGTCAGTCTTGGTGATCTGCGACATTATTTACGAAAGCAATTCACCGGAATAACATGTAATAATTGCATAGAAGTAATATATGATATTTGTTCTCATCTTCAGTTTATTCATTCACAAGGTAGAATGCCAAGTCTATTCAAATTTTGAAGTGTAAGTTTATAGTTGCTTAATTTCTTTTTGATGCATATCAGATCTATCCTTACCAAACAAACGATTTCCACATAAGCAGCATTCAAAATACACAAAATAACCTGCAAATTATATGAGTCGTTACACATTTGCTAAATGAATATATCATGATCATGCTCCTTGAAATCTTTTTTGTGTTGTAATATTATGTTATTTTATTTCTTCATTTAGATGTATTTAAACTATCCCCACTTCAGTTATAACTGCAATAGATCTTTACATGTGTTGTGCGATCTTAAAATAGAACCAACACTTTCTGTGATTATTTCCTAAATCCAGAACTTGACAGCTACAAATCTCCTGGATACTTATCAAAGTTTATAAAGGGTGAGTCTCAACTATATATTATTGGATTCACTATGTTATATCAAGCCGTTAGCTACGCTGCTATATTGATTCTGGAAATCATGACTACTGTTTCGACAGTGAATATTCTTCCCAATCTGAGGCTAGAAAATTTATAGTGAATAGGATATATATATATATATAGTAAAAGTGACTAGAAATCATTTAGACTTGACAGTGATAAAGACATGCTCAACATTACTTAATAGTTTATTCTGAAAAAATGTCCACACGAGGTTGGACTTTCAGTTGCCGAGGGTATAACTTTGACCAAATTGCAGGCTAAGGATTTAGCTTGCGGACTGCTATATCTCGTATTTGCTACGTATTATTATGATGTTTCTGACTGTGTGCAACCTACCTTTCTTCGATAACAGAAACACCAAAAATATGACCATTATTTTGACAAATTCACTACTTCTACATACACTGTAGATGTATAATAATACAAATAATATCATTCAGACGTTTTACTACACAGATGAAAGAACCTGACTGAAATACAGTGTGTCAAAAAAAACCAGAAATTTTAATTTTAGTTATATTCAATGAATATTTATTTAATTCATATAAAATTTTAAATATATATACTTGATAACCTAGTGAAAAAGTTTACTTAAAAGTATTTAATAGCTTATCTTAATAAAATTTTTCATAATCTTTTTTTATTTGTTATTCAATGAATATTTATTTAAATTATATAAAATTTTAAATATATATACTTGATAATCTAGTAAATAAGTTTACTTAAGATTAATTTGTAAAATAATAATCAAATTTATTTATAATAATTTATTTAAGTTTTCTTATTATTAAAAATTTTTAATTTTAAAAATATAAATTATGAAAAATTTTAATAAGATAAGTGTTAAGTAAAGTTGTTTATCATACTCTCAACTATATATATTTAAATTTTATGTTATTTAAATAAATATTTATGGAGAAAATTAAAAATTCCAGTTTTTTTTGACACACTGTAACTTCAATCAAGTTAATGGAAGTGCCAGTTCTAATCTAACTCATTGGCCATATAGCTTAGATTAGGCATGATCCAATTCTCACAGATTGATATTATATATAAATGTCAAGAAAAATTACACATGTTTATTGACTATTGAACCTCTACTCATTTTGATATTTAATAAATCATATAATCATCTATATTGTTAATATTTTGACATGAAAAAGACTAACAAATAAAATACAATCATTAAGATTTCATTTCAGTATGCTATGATTTGTAATATTTGCGTGTTCGGAACTTCATGAATCTGAGATATATGAATTCGGATTTATGAATTGTCAGAAGTTTTATTTATAATTCAAACCTTTTAACAAATATTCTGATGTCGAACATTCTATTATTTCTATTGCCATTTTGCAGGTAAAATGAAATACCCAATTCTAATATTTTTGATGAATATTTCAAAAGTACTATCGTTTATTTCAGGATTATTATGTTTAAAAACAGTCCTGTTTAATATATTGTATATTGTATTGAGACGGTGATAACTAATGATTTTTTGATTTGTAATCTCAATTCTACTTTGAGCTTTAGTAATGGCATTGTATAGTTTGCAATGTGATAGTAGCTGATGTAGAACTTAGTGTTGTCAATTCCTCAATGAATTTTCAACATAGGAGAATGCCCCTCTGGGTGATCAACGTAGTTGTTTTTCATCTCAAATCACCAATTAGTTAGCTGTTCAACATGTGACACCACAAATAATAAACAGAATGGTGAATTCAGCTCGTGCCGTATTGTACAATACATGCCAGGTATATGCAGATGCGGAGAATCTGGAAACTGAGTTGATCCAAATTAATTATAATTTGGTGATATTCAGTAACAAAATAAAAATATTGTTTGATCTATCTGATATAACTCATATGTACTTTAATCAGATCTTCAGGATTCGTTCACTCTCTCCTAATACATGTAGCAAGACGAAAAAATTCAAAACAAATACAAAACTGAAAAATAGCTTGTATCTCGAAATTTCGCCTATGAAACTACTTTCTGTGCTCTACCAAAAAATGTTCCTTACAAAATTTTACTGTAAATATTTTATCGTGCAATACAATATAATCATAACTCTGACTCTAATCATAACCTTAATGAAAACACTATCATCATATATTACGATCTGATCGGTTTACTAAAAATCACATGACCTGAACATATTCTAGGGTAGATATATATGTATTCAAAATTGACATTTTTATCAGTTTTAGACACCTGTTTCTTGCACTTTTCTATTTCTCTCGAAAATGACAAATTTCTCAACAAAGTAGTAAATCGGTTAACCGAATATAACCATTTACAAATATAACCGATTTTTAAATCACGAACCGGTTATAAAATTAAATTGGTTAAATCCGGCTATATAATTCGATGGCTAAACCGGTTCCAAACTCTAGGACATCTGTTGTAGTAAGAGGCTCCCTATTATGAGTTTTTGAGCGAATTCAAACCAAGTTTCCTACATTCATTGTACTAATCGCCACCCATTTTTCGATATTCGCAAGAAAAGTATGAAATTGATACTTATTTTCGCATTACAATAAATTATAATTAACGTAGTATTCCGAAATACACTTGCCAGTTCTTTTGAGATATTAAGCTTTCTGCCTGCGCAATAAGGACCTACGAATGACGATTTTTAATCCATCGAAATGGTGAGTTCATTAATGGGTTTTATTACATTCATTCATTGGCAGAACATGGGAGATTCACAATCGACATATTCCTTGGAGAGACATCGTCTGTCACGATTTTCATCTATCTTTATTGCATGTCAAGAGATAATTTAACCATCGCAAATTAGTAAAATATATTTTTAAAACAATCATAAATGGATTAACATACCTTCTCGACTGGTCCAAGTTTTCTATTTTCATATCATTAAATATTGGACTTGCATATTAGCAAAAAATAATGATTTTTTTATCAGATCTTGTCCGTAGGGTATTGGACATTTATTAGACGAGACAGTTCTGAATCAGGTGATCTTTCCGGATGAAATTTTGGTGGATTTCAAATTTTCTAATCTGGAAATGCGCAAATTTTGGCAATATCCAATAAGAATGCACGAGTTTTTTGATCGACCCGGCAAAAACAATTGTCATGCACGTGTACATGTATTAATTTAAAATTTCGGAAAGGCAATTCTGTCTCCACATCCAATACCTTACACTTATCCTGCCTCTAATCGAATGTAATGAAAATTCAGAATCCAAACTCGGAAATTTGAAATTTGGTTCAGTAAAACTTATCTTAAATCACAACTTTATATCACACAAATTTTGTTAGAACAATAAATAATTACTTGAGCAAATTTCAAGATACATGTACAAACTATTTTACAAAAATAAACGGAAAGATCACCTGATTCAGCACTGTCCTTAGGCTTCCCGTAAAAATAAATGACAATATGTCATATGACAACTTGTCATTTTGGATTATCTCAATACATAATCAAAATTAATTCACTGTTAGCGTCAATTATTTAATTTTTTAATCCGCATCATCTTACCAAGAAAATTGAATAAGCACAATTTATGAGAGGAAACACAAATATACATAAAGTATGATACACGTGAAATACTGCCGCTACTTGTATCTCATTATAAATATTTTACAAATAAATCATAGTTTATTAATATAATAACAAATAAAAATACACGAATAACACAAATTACGATAAAGAATACATGTAATGATTTGCATAACGATAGCTAATTTATGGTAAGTTTGGATAAAATATATTAATTACTTGGTTCCTATTTTAGATGGGGTCACAATAGTCGAAAAAGAAGAATCTTTTCCGTCTGGCATTCCAGCTAACCAAGTAGGTGGCGAAATACCAGTTTGATCTTGAATTGTTGATAGTAATGGAGGTAAACTCTGCATAATTAAATTGTGCATCAGTTAATCATTCAATTATCAATTCGTCAATTATTATTAACTATGTGTAATTAAATTACCTTAAAAATATCAGCTACTGGACCCATTCCATTGGTTGAGCTTCCTTCTGCTCCAGTATTCCATACAGTAATCTTTGGATTCAA